TCTTGTGGTGGCACATGCCTTTAGTGCCAGAACTCAGGAAGCAGAGACAGGCAAATCTCCGTGAGCTCCAGACCAGCCGGATCTACAAGTGAGATCCAGGACAGGCTCTAAAGCTATACAGAGAAACCCTGTTTCGAAAAACAAAACAAACAGAATTCTCTTATAACATTTTCTAGGCACATTTCCTTACAAGAGCATACCTGCTCCCTATGTACCTGCCCCCAAAATGTGTAACACTGATCAGATAATGTGTGAAGTAAATCCATCACCTGCAGCGGCAATGACGATAATGTCTAACTGTAACTGGACTTCTGCTATGCGTTAGGCACAAGTTTAAGCATAGACTTTGAGTGTCTGTCTCTCTCTGTGTTTGTGTTTGTGTTTGTGTGTGTGTGTGTGTGTGTGTGTGTGTGTGTGTGTGTGTGTGTGTGTGTGTGTGTGTTGTTTTTCAAGACAGGGTTTGTTTTGTAACAGTCCAGACTGTCCTGGAACTCACTGAGATCCTCCTGTCTCTGCCTCCTCAGTGCTGGGATGAAAGGTGTGTGCTGCTGCCATCGCCACTACAACTACCTGGTGACACTTTTTTTTTCAATAGACACTAATTTATTTAGTCCCTGTGATAATCCTGGCAATGAGAACTATTATCATAAATCCCCACCCTCATTATGCAGATGTAGAAACCAGTTCAGAGAGGCCAAGGAATTTGTCCAAGGTCATCTAGCCAGTGACTACACCCACCAAGCCTTCCATAGGACAACTTCTGTACAGTACTTTGGCCTACTCTTCTCAACATTGAGAAATGGGGTTCTCCCTTTTAAAAGCAAAATGTAAAGATGTATAAATATGGACCACAATCCACCCTAAATCTTGAAGCTAATTAATTTCTTCTACTGTGCTGGCTGTGTTATTCTGTGGTATTAAAGTTACTCTGCAATTCTTTAGCGATGACCTCTAGCATAAGTATCATGGGATGGAGGTCACCAGGCTTTTCCATGTGCACATCCACTTAAAGCCTTAGTTCCAAGTCAATTTTCACTAGGCGGTTAAGTGTTATCTGAGCATGTACTAAGGAATGACTTTCTGAAGCCTAGTGAGATAAGTCATTCATACTCTAACACGGATCTCCTGAACCGAGCTGGTTATTCCTGTAGGGGAACTATATTCAGATCAAACTAATTTCTTAAACGACATAAAAGGATCGAGACACTTGGAGGAGTCTTATGTAACTGACTGAGTGTTGATGGCTTGGACCTAGATGGTGGCTGACAGGGAAAGGGAAGCTGAGTCCTAGAAATGGCAGAAATTGTAATTTAAAAATTACAGTAACTATCACCTGCCAGGAATTAAAATGATTAAAGGGCTTCTTTTTCTACACCTCTATTGTGAGAGGATTCATAAGCAAATAATTTTAAGAACACTAACCTGTTAAGCACTAGTAATTAGCTGAGAAAAACAAACACAAATGTTCTTGAAGATGGAACGAACCCTGAGGGAATTCAGTCCTCTCAAATTATACTGAGTGTTACTGAAGTAATTCTTGATGACTGCTACCCCAGCTGAAAACCCCCTTCACATTTTCTTCTGTTTCTCGTCATCTAATAACAACGTCTGGAAAAACAAAACCAAAAACCAAACAAACAAACACCCCAAGGGATTTGGCTCAGTAGGTAAGAGTGCTGAGTAAACAAGGAGAACCTGAGTTTGAATCCCAGCACCCATGTTAATAGCTGGGTTCACTTCACATACCCACATGTAGCCCCAGTGCTATGGGAGGCAGGAACAGCAGTCAGGGCACCTGCTGGCCACCAGCCTAGCTGCAGGTGCAGTGAGAGACCCTGCTTCAAAGGCACAGGAGAGCACCTGACATCGCCCTCAGGCCTTCATGTATGCACACACTGCTGCAGAGCATACCTGCCCACACTCCCCCAGCACACACAAAACAGGGTCTCTCTGTCGCCCAGACTGTCCTGGAAATCAGCACATAGCTCACAGTGGTCTTGAACTCACAGCAATTGGCCTACCTTAGCTTCCAGAGTGTTGAGATTGCAGGTGTGAGCTACCATGCCCAAGCTCAGTGATAATTTCTATGGCAGCTGTCAGGATCACTCGCTAATATAGGTGATCTGGTAATGGGTGAGAACCTTCTGGAATGTCTTAGGTTTTCAGCAGAAGCATTAACTATTTGCCATACTTGTGAATGGAAGGACACAGGACTGGCAGACAGTGGCCGTGTCACTGAGTAGTTAACGGGATATGGTTTTGTCATCTTGTGTCTCTGGGCTTTAGTTTCAAAGTCTGTCGGATACAGAAATGAGATGAGATGGTCTCCAAAGGCCACCCAAAAAGCTCTGAGTTCCACAGTTGTAAGATGTTTTTGAACACTGTTGTACAAACAAGACTCTTAAGGCTTAATTCCGTGAAATAAACTAAAAATATGTCTAAACCAGCGATATGGGAATAGACTATTTTAAAAAATATCTCCCCAAAGATCCATTATCATTAAACTAGTTTCTCTCTCACACTTTATCACTTCACTGAAGAAACGGAGCAGAGCAGATGCCATCTCAAGGAGGAAGAGGCGCCTGTGCTCTCTCAGTACTGTGGATGTTCAGTTAGGCAGGGTGTAAGTTCAAGGCCAGCCTGAACTACGACATAGATCATATCTTTAAAAAAAATATACACATATATACATACATACATACATACATACACGTAAGGAATGTTTCCAAAAGGAAAGAAATCCACCCTTCGTCACCCGGGAGGGTGAGGGAAAGACGGCAGGAGGACATAGAAGAGCTGATTTGCTTTCCATGCCCTGTCACGGTGGAAAGATTAAGTTGGAAGTAGGCAGCTGACAAACTCACAGACACCTGGAGACGCTCACGGTGCCTCAGATAAAGAGTTGCTTTCCCGGGTGCGCCTGTGAAAGGCCAAGGCCTCTTGGAGTGCGCCTTCAGCCTCAAAGCATGTTCAACACGATGCAGGCAGACAATGCAACATTGGAAGAGAGGTGGTCCCGGAAGTGTGAGGCGAGTCCCCTGCCTCATCAAGGCCTGCATGGGGTATTCGGGAAGTCCAGAGTGATGATGCATTTCAGTGAGAAGACCAAGTGCCACTCTGAGGATGAAGGGACCTGTGGAGATGTGAGTTCAATACAGACCCTGTAGTGTGGGGGAGGGGAGGGAGGTGACATTCCCCTACAAAAGAATTACAATGAAAGGAAATTGAGTACTTTCTCAAAATTACAGAAATGACCAGTTCGGTTTTTGCTTTGTTTTTTGAGACAGGGTTTCTGTGTACCTTTGGAGGCTGTCCTGCTCTGTAGACTAGGCTGGTCTTGAACTCACAGAGATCTGCCTGCCTCTGCCTCCTGAGTGCTGGGATTAAAGGGCTGTACCATTACCACCTGGTGAGAGTCTCTATAATTTTATGCTTATTCCTAAACATACTTTGGAATAAGCAAATTGTGAAACAAAATCTAAACGATGGTACTTATGTAGAAGAATGAGATGTATGGATCTGAAGTTAAAAAATAACAGAAAATAGGGATGAGTTTGGTCCTCAGAACCCACAATAAGAGAGAACCAACTCTTTCTGCAAGTTGTCCTTTGACCATGCCATTGCACACATATGCTCATACACACAAAAAATAATGTAATTAGCTAGGTGGTGGTGCTGCATGCCTTTCGTCCCAGTACATGGGAGGCAGAGTCAGGCAGATTTCAGTGAGCTCGAGGCCAGCCTGGTCTACAGAGTGAATTCCAGGACAGCTAGGACTGTTCCAGAGAGAAACCCTGTCTCGAAAACCAAAAAGAACAACAGCAAAAAGAATGTAATTAGAGAAAATAAGCTATAGTTTCTTTCTACATTTGATTAATATGAATAGCTAAATCTTCAATTCTACCACACCAAAATTCAAAGGTTTGGTCTTTGATTGGTATCTTCTGTAGTACCTTATACACTGCTCAGGATTATGGACACAATTATAATGTTTTTCCCACACATGTTAAATTCTTCCCTCAATATTTATTTAAGCCAAACACCAATGTTTATTTTCACCCAGTTAACCATAACATTTTAATGCTAGTTTACTTAATTACTTAGAGATGGGCTTGTCATGCAGTCCCAGATGACCCAGAACTTGCCATCCTTCTGCTTCAACCTTGAGAAGTCTTAGATCATAGGCATGAGCTAGTCATGCACAACTCAGGCTGGGTTTCTCTAATAAAAAACAAGATTAAGTGTATGGGTGCTTTGCCTGCAGCTCAGTGCACCATGTGTATCCCTGGCGCTTTCGGAGGTCAGAAGAGGGTGACAGCTGCCACATGGGTGCTGGGAATTGAACTTGGGTCCTCTTGCCAGGTAGTGGTGGTGCACGCTTTTTATCTTAGCACTCTGGAGGCAGAGGCAAGCAGATCTCTGTGAGTTTGAGATCAGCCTGGTCTACAGAGCGAGTTTCAGGACAACCTCTAAAGCAATACAGAGAAACCCTGTCTCAAAAAACAACAACAAAAACAAACAAACAAACAAAAAAACAAACAAGAAAGAACTTGGGTCCTCTGGAAGAGCAGTCAGTGCTCTCAAAGGATGAGACATCTTTCTAGCTCCTCAAGATCTTTTTCTTTCTTTCTTTTTTTTTTTTTTTTGAGATAGGGTTTCTCTGTATTGTTTTGGAGGCTGTCCTGGAACTTGCCACCAACACCCGGCCTTCTCAAGATGTTTTTCAAACAACTGTCTTACATAGTTTTTGCTTTTCTTTTTGGAGACAGGGTTTCTCTGTAACAGTTCTGGCTGTTCTGGAACTATGTAGATCAGGCTGGCCTCTAACTCATAGAGATCTGTCTGCCTCTGCTTCCCAAGTGCTGGGACTAAATGCATGCACCACCACCGCCCGGACACATTTAGGTTTTGAAAAGATTATGTACACGAGTCTCCATTTTCTTGACTAAAAAGTGGGCATCTCAAAAATCACATGCTCAAAAAAAAACCCAACAATTGTATATTATCTGATAAAGTTTTATTTAAATAGGAGAGATGTCTGATATCCAGAAAGGTGATTTGCCTAGAATCACATAAGAAATCGGGGGCAGCCGGGTGGTGCTGGCGCACACCTGTAATCCCAGCACTCTGGAGGCAGAGGCAGGTGACTCTCTGTGAGTTGGAGACCAGCCTGGTCTACAGCCTCCAAAGCCACAGAGAAACCCTGTCTCGAAAAACCAAACCAAACCAAACCAAAAGATGGGGCTCACACAATACTATTTTATCTCTCTTCTTGTGTTTCTCTCAGAATTCACTCTTCTCCCCCCTCCGTCTTGGTTTTACTAAGCTTTGTATTGTCTTATCTATCTTGAGCCTAGAAAGCAATCAATGGAATTCAAGTAGGAAATCACTGAAAGGTCTCGAAAATAAGGGAATCCAGAGGCAAACTACTAGCTATGCCATAATGAGTAAATAGTGAGAAGAGCACATTTTCAGCCATCACAACGGCAGCCAGGGAAGAGAAACCATTTCCTCGGGGAGAGATTATGCTAAGGGGACCAGATAGATACAAAAGATAATTCCTCCTGGGAGTTTCTCTTTTTTGAGAGCGTCGGACCTAAAGGAAAACAAACAAACAAACAATGAAATAGTCAATCACGTTCACAACCTCCACACAATTTCTCTTCCGGAACATTATGTAGACCACTTTTCCAAAAACCAAAAGCAAACTAAGTGTCCAAGCTCTTCAACACTCTGGTTTGGGTGACGAGAGACACTGGAGGCGCCTCCAAACTAAGCTCGGTCAAAGCCGATCTCCTAAGGTTTTGCAAATACCCCCAGCTGGGCTGAAGGGCACAGAGCCTGCAGCGCTCCCTACAGCTCAGAGTTAGAACCTACCGAGCACAGAAATCCCGAGTTAGCAAAGATCGACTCCCTCACTCCACTCTAAGAAAACCAGGTGAGGGCTGGGGTGGCGGGAGGCCGGAACGGCAAAATGCAGGATTAATCACTTCTCCTAATTACATCAGCAGCCCCCGCCCTTTCCTCCGTGCACCTCCTCTCCTAGAACCTTCGCTGCGCACTGGCGCCCCTTCGCTTACCCCCGGGCTCCATTATAGGCCCCGAAGCCTCCCCATTACCACCCGTCCTGCCACACTCCCCCCCTTCCCTCTCCCCTCGCCCTCCTCCTCCTCCTCCTCCTCCGCGGGGGGAAGGAGGAGGAAACCCGAGAGAGGAAACAGGGCGTTGGAGGAAGAAGGGGCTTCGCGATAAGAGAGGCGGCGCCATTGGCCCGCAGACTGTACGCGCGCCCCCCATTGGCCGCGTCCCGCAGGAATCCCCGCCCCTCCGTCCCCGCCCACCCGCCCCTCCCCCGCCGCCCCGCGGCCCTCCCCCCCACCCCCCGCGCCCCCCGGCCAGCCCCACGGCGGGGAGGGACCGACGAGGCCGGAGAGGAGGCTCCGGCGGTGTCCATGGCTCCTCCTGCCACGGAGCAGCGGCTGCGGCGGCGGCGGCGGCGCGGGGCTGAGGAGGAAAGGCTCCTTTAAGGAGGAGGACCGACGACGCCTCTTTCTGCCCCTGTCTCCTCCTCCCTTTACACTCATTTCCCCTTCGCTGAGGAGGGGGGGCGGAGGGGAGAGAGAGAGAGAGAGAGAAGGAGGCCGAAGAAAGAGAAAAATTCCTCCTCGCAGGGCGCTCTTTCAGGGGGTGTGGGGGGAGGAAGAGGAACGGAGGAGCCGGGCGCCCCCCGCGCGCTCCCGCCCCGCTCGCTCGCCCTCTCCGAGACCGCCCGCTCGCCCGCCCGCCCGCCCGCCCACTCCCCCCCGCCGCCGGAGACGCCGCTCGGGAGTCGGCGGGCCCGGCTCGTCTGCTCGGCCGCAGACGCCGCCGCCGCGCTTCGCCTCGGGCTCCCCAGGCGGACGGACGCCCTTTTCTTTCTTTCTCTCGCCCGGCCCGTCTTTCTCTCTTTCTCTCTCTCTCTCTCTGCGTCCCTCGCGGCCGCCCCGCCCGGCGGCCTCGGCCTTGCCCGTGCGCCAGGCCTGGCCGGCCGGCCTCGCTCGAGCTCCGGCTGCGCCCCCGGCCTCCCCGCGGACCCGGGGGCTCACGCCCGTCCCGGGCCCCCCGTCCCCTCGTCCCCGGCCGTCCTCCCTCACCTCCCCCCCACGCTCTTTCCCGCTCCCCACCCCCTCCTCCCCCCGTCTCCCCCGGCCCCCGGAGCTCGCGGTGCGTGTGCGCGTGAGTGCGTGTGTGTCCCTCCGCCAACGCCGCCACCTCAGCCCGGCAAATGAACTCCGTCCGAGCCGCCAACCGGAGACCCAGGCGAGTGTCGCGGCCGCGCCCGGTGCAGCAACAGCAGCAGCAGCCCCCGCAGCAGCCGCCGCCTCAGCCGCCCCAGCAGCAGCCGCAGCCGCAGCCGCCGCAGCCGCCCCAGCAACAGCCGCCGCCGCAGCAGCAGCCCCCGCCGCCGCCTCAGCAGCAGCCCCCGCCGCCGCCACCGCCGCCTCCGCCGCCGCCTCAGGAACGGAACAACGCCGGCGAGAGGGGTAAGGCCGCGCTCGGGGCCCGGCGGGCGGGAGGCCGTGCGGGGGCGGCGGCGGCGCGCCCGGGGTGGGAGACGGAGGCCGAGCGGAGGCGGGTCCCACCGTGCCGCAGTGTTCGCCCGGGCCCGGCCCGGCCCGGCCGGCAGGAAAAGCCGCGGCTGCGCGATTCGCCCGGGCTGCGGCTCAGGCCGCGCTTTGTTTGGTTTCGGGGCCGGCACCCTCCGTCCCCACCCCTCCTCGGGGCTTCCCGGCTGGCTCGCCCACCCCGCGGGAGGCTGTTGGCGGCCGGGGGCGGGCAGAGGGTGGGATTTCCCCCTTTCTGCCTGCTGGCTCGGTCTGGGCTCCCCCTTTCTCGTGGTAGGTGGTGAGGGGGGACGGCTGGCAGCGTGGGGCGGTGAGGCTGGCCGGGGAACTTGTTTTCCCCTCCGCCGTGGGCTCCCCCTCGCCCTGCCGGAGGGGGAGAGGGGCGCCCGAGTGGTCCGCGGCGCTGGCTAGGGAACTTGCGCCCCCCCTTCCCAGGTCACGGGGCCGGGGAGCAGCGGCTCCTTTCCCAACCCCAAGATGTTTGCTGCGCAGTTTGCCTTTAGTTACAGAGCCCCCGGGAAGGACCCGTTAGATCAATACCTTTAAATAAATAAATATAGGAGCCATCGGCCATTTCCAGCCCCCTCCCTCGTGTGCAGTGCAGTTACCCTTCCGCTGTGTCGTCCCCCTCACCTCTCCTCCCCACTACGCCTCGGTGCTCCCCTCTATCTCCTGGTGGGTTTGAGCACCCGTGTTAGAACCGGCCCCTTGGGATCGTGTGTGTGTGTGTGTGTGTGTGTGTGTGTGTGTGTGTGTGTGTGTGTGTGTGTGCGTGTGCGTGCGCATCTGTATGTAGGCTCGCGCGTGTGTTGTGACCAAGGCCTAGTGAAATGTGTCATTTGGACCCAACTGTGCCGCGCTGTCTGGTAACCACCATTGTCTAAGGGCTGAGGCTCCCCGGGGTTGGATTCCTGCTTTAGCAAAAAATAATGTTGGGTTTTGCCGGGATGATGTGGTCGTTTGGGGAGGTTGCCCCTTGATCTCCGAACATAACTAGTCTATTAACGAGCCGCTTGCAGTGGGTGTAAGTCAACACGGTATTTCGCGTATTGGTTGTTTGAAGGAGGAGACCTGTTAGGAGACATCTTGCGTGTTTTGGTTGGCGGATTAAGGTTAATTTTTCATGCGTTGCGTTGGTTGTCACACCTCCTTTGATTAAGGAGACTGCGTTTAAATGTATTTTTTTAGGTTGTACATTCTTTCCTTAAATGTTTCATTGTAGTTGATCAAAATATTTATCAGGTGAAGGAAATTGTTAGTTTGAAAAACAGTTTAAAAGGTTTGCTTTAGTCACTGTTACAATAGTCTGGGAAAGCATTTTGCTGTATATTGTTTGAGAGACGGGAATGTTTCCAGGCAGCTCGAGGTCTTTTGCAACATGGTTGGTAGAAATGTTTTAGCAATTCTTTGATACGTTTACCAATTTTTGACAAATTAAAAAAATGTATCTCATCGTTCGTTCGTTACCTTTCACTTAAATATACCAGAGTTGTGCAGTGTTCCTCAAATAATTATCAGGTCCTCTAGAATTGACACTAGGGAAAACAAGCAAAATTGAAACGTTAAGTGTTCAATGTTAAGGATTCTGCCGTTGCAGTGAGCCTTTTAAAGATGTCCTGAACTGTTAATAACAGAGCACTGAAAGTGTCAGTCCATTCCCATTGTGTATTTTAAAATGTTTATTCTGCATTCCCGTCTCACCACTGTTCTGGTTTCTAATCTAGTTGAGATAGACCCTGGGCATTTTCTTCGTTTATTTTAAATTATTAGTTACCAAAGTCTAGTCCTACCTCCTGCATCTTGGTCATTAATGGTCACATGCCAGAGTGTCAGTTTTCTCTTTATTGTTAAAAAACTGACAGAGATGTTCTTGAATCGTGGTTTCATTATGTACTTAACCAAATAGTAAGTGAAGTGCACTCTGGGGTTGTTGCTGTGTTGTAGGAACTGTTGTGGAGGTTCAGTATTGGCACGGAGAGGGGAGAATGGTGTGAGTCTTTCAACCGGCAAATAGATGGCCTCAGAATGAATAAAACATGAAGATGAATTAAGACTAAGATAATGAACATTTTCCTATGCTTGTGCAAAAATAATATCATTCTTTGAAAGATTAGCATTTTTATTATATTTTTAAATGTACTTAAAAGTTTTAGGGAGTATACAGAGTATTTCTAGCTTAATATTCTGTTAATACTAGTTTAGGAATATGCTGTAATTAATAATTTTATAAGGGGGCCAGAAAGATGGTTCCGTGGGTAAAAGAGCTTGTGGTCAAGCCTGATGACCTGAGAGTTCCATACTGAGACCCACATGATGGAAGCAGAGGACCAACTCCTTAGGTGATTTTCTGACCTTATTACATCAGCATATACATACACACATTAAATAAACGAATAATAAAATTTAAATTATCTATAGGGAATGAAGGAGCCAAAGCTAATGTGTTTGTTTGTTTGTTTTTTAAGTCTTGGTGAATATTTAATTTAACATTAGTCTTGGTTAGAGTTACACAATTGTGGTTCAGGTAGTAAATCAAGTGAGAGTCACAACTTTTAGTGCAGTCTGTATAAAATTAACTTCATATGAAGATTACTGTGAGCTTTTTAGTTGCAATATAGTAACAAACAAAATCTGTCAGATTGTTTTTTAGTTGCTTTTTATCCACAAGTAAACTAGAATAAAAATTCTTGGGAGTGCTATTAAGTATGTGTCTACAAATATGTGTATTTGTCTGTTCTGTACACACAGGCACATTTTCTCTTGTTTGAAGTGCAGTAGAAACTTAGGTGGGATCTTAGCAGGATTCTGTGCCACTTACTGGAGGATTTCTAATAGGTCCTTGAGAAGGAGCCAACATGCTTCTTGGGAAGTTGTCATGCAATATGAAATGGTCTACAATTTAAAACTGTACACTAGCACAGGCTATTTGTTTTAGCCTGAAAGTTTATAGTTTGGGATTTCACATACTACTAAAAACTAGAAGAAAGTTTGTGTTCCATGTAGTAGTCACAGGTGGATAATATATCCTATGATTTAATGAAGTTGGAAAACATTTGGGGTTGGGTTTCGTTTGGTTGGTTTGCTATATATTTTACTAGTTTACTTATTTGGAGACAGGGCCTCCTTGGTAGCTCTGACAGGCTAGAACTCACTACATAGACCAGGCTGGCCTCCTGGCCACTTCCCACTGCCTCCCAAAGTTCTGGGATTAAAGGCGTGCAACACCATGGTAGGCTTCATATTACATTTTTAATTTGAATATTTGTGGGTACTCTGTTTTAGTACATGAATGTCATGTTCAAACCAGGGTAAGCATCAGAAAAACATCTCTCTCCTTGAATATAATTTCTTTCTGATTAAAAACAGTCCTTTCTTCAAGCTTCTTTGAGATACATAGTACATTATTGTTTTTGTAGTCAGCCTGCTATGACAGTACAGCACCAGTGCTCAGTTCTCTTTTTTCACTGTAACGTGGATTATTGTTTTTGTAGTCAGCCTGCTATGACAGTACAGCACCAGTGCTCAGTTCTCTTTTTTCACTGTAACGTGGTGCTGACACACTTTCCTCATCCTTCCTCCAGTTCTCCTGGTGTCACTGATTCTGCATCAGTGAGGTCAACTTTTGAAACTCCATATATCCATTTGTCGTTCTGTGCTTGGCCTGTTTCACTTAACATCATGACATATGTCACCACCTTTCTCCCTGAAAAATGTGTGTGCACATGTATGTATGTACATGCTTATTCTTCATCAGTTGATGGTTCTTGAGTTGTTTGCATGTCCTGACTCCTAAGGTAAATGAGGCAGTGTAGGTTTTCATACTGAATTCATTTCGTTTGTTTATGCATGCATGTTTGCTCTAAAATTCTAAAATGAGCTAGCTTTTGCAACCTGTCTCACAGAGTTCATCCCCTTTATTCTTAGAACCTATTTTTACCTTTTCTAGAAATATAGGGAACACAGATCTGTAGATGTGCTATAATATTCTAACTAGTAGTTTTTAAAAATTTTTTTATTTAATAAAATTTCTCTGTGGGGTGTGTGTGTGTGTCTGTGTGTCTGAAATATGGATTAGGTACAGAAGAGGGTGTCAGATCCCCAGTAGTAGGTACAGGTATATGGGTGCTGGGAATAGAACTTGGGTCCTAAGGAATATCAAGTGTCATCTCTCTAGCCCTTATTTTTTTAAAACACTGTCTCACTATATAGCCCTGGGTGGACTGGAACGCAAAGATATCTGCCTGCCTCGAGGATGTACACCACCATGCTCAGTTTCTTAGTTATTTTTCTGTTGCTATGGTAATGCATCATGACCAAGGCAACTTAGAGTTTATTTGGGGGCTTATAGTTTCAAAGGTCTAAGAGTCCATGAAAATCATGATGGGTAATATTGTAGTAGCTGAGCACTTATATCTTGTTCTATAAGCATCAGGCAGAGAAAACTAACTTGGAATGGTGTGGGCTTTTGAAATCTCAAAACCCCCATGGCATACTTCCTCCAACAAGGCCACTAATCCTTTCCAGACAGTTCCACCAACTGGGGACTAAGCATTGAAACATGAGCCTTTAATGCCAGCACTCAGCAGGCCGAGGCGGGCTGATCTCAGGGTTCCAGGACAGGCAGGGTTATATAGTGAAACACCCTGTCTTTAAAACAAAAGGAGGAAGGAAAACAACCAGCCTGTGGGTTATTTCAGTGTAAGAGTTCTTGACTTCCTGTTTCTCTGTCACTAATAAGGTACTCTTTATTTTGTATAAATCCTCTTGTAGCTATCTCTGAAGAATTCTAATTTTTACTTTCCATTTCACTTTTGTTAGCTTGAATTACATTCTCCCAAATAACTCAGATTAGTGTGTGAGACTGGTGACAAGGTAGTACTCTTCAAATTGTATTTGTTGTACATTGAAAACAAAATTAG